ATACAATTTTAAGAATGTAATGATATTCTCTTCCTCCCTCCCCCTCTCTCCTTCCCACCCTTCTTGCTTCTCCCTTTCTTTCTGTAAATTTTTTTTTAGTTTTTGAGATAACATATTTTAAATTTACATTACAGTGAAAAGGCTTGCTACTTCACTGAATAAGAAGGTTAACAACAAAAAGCAAAAGGCCCTAGTTTAGTGGGAATATAGACAACAGCTATGAACAACAATTGAATGAAAAAATGACCATTTCACCCATATACAGTCAATTTTAAATTAATAACAAATCATTTAAACTATAGTAGTATAACGTTCTTAACCACTGGCTTCACAAAGGTATAAAACAAAATTTTACAAAACTATATTTGCAGCAATACTGATTCACAGAGACATTTCTTTCTTTTTTGTTTATTTTTTAAAATTTAGCCTCCCATAAAAGGGAGAACATGCAGTATTTGTCTTTCCGGGTCCAGCATATTTCACTCAACATGATGTCCTATGGGTGTGTCCATTTTGCTGCAAATGGTAGAATTTCTTTTGTTTTTATAGTTGAATAACATTATATATTTTGTTTATCCATCATCTGACAAAGGACACCTCGGTTGAGTCTGAATTTTGGCTATTGTGAGCTCTGCTTCTATTAAACACGACGTGTTCAAACCAAAGTTTATTCTCTACAGAGCTGTGATTGCAATGATTTCCCAGCTTTGGTCACTTGCTTACCGTCTTCTCAGTTTTTGTCGCAGCCACAGCTGTAGCGTGTGTATATGATACTTCCGAGGAGGAAGAGGGTGCTGTAGGTTCTGTGTGGGAAGAGCTTGCTGCTTGTTGAGTCTGCTGATTTGGAGGCAGGAAATTAGTCAGCCTGTCACACTGTTTCCCTGAAAATCCATGAGACAGGAGTAATCACCTGGGCTTTCCGAATTCTGCAAGGCAGCTGTTTGAAAACATTTTTATGCCTGCAACATCTGAGTGTTCTTCTCCTTGGCTGTTATTGAGAGCTTTCCCCACTTAGACATACAGGCGGCTCTTTTGTAACAAGTGGTTAGCACTGATGTGTTCAAGAATGTAAAAGCTTACTGCACGTGCATCTCAAGGCCTCTTAATGACTTGAATCGCATAATAATGATATGCTTGTGATAAGTGATTTATTTTTGGTTTTCCTTTCTTCTTATGGTAAAAATACAGGCAAATCAGTTATTGATAACATCACAAAATTCCAATTATAGGCAGACATTTTTAAAAATACTGGAGACATACATCAAGGAAAACTAGTACATGTTTCTTTAAGTGAAAACAGCAATGCAAACACATGTGTAGGTGTTGTGCTCATTTCTCAACTGTTTTGAAGGACAGCTCCACGTAGGAATTCAAAAATAAAGTAGATTAGCGTATCCATTTGTCTGCTGGTATAGCACAAGCATTACCTGGGATTGCAAATGGTATACAGCCGAGAGAAAGATATAAAAGCCAAGCAGCGTTTGCCAAGCGGTGCCTGACACAATGCCCGTAATCCACCTGTATGGCTCTGGCTCAGAACCCTCCGCAGTGGATTTGGAGTTTGAGTTTCTCCTGGAGACCTTAAAGCAGCCTGAGGATGCACCAAGTCGTTGTTAATAAGCTGATTCTGAGAACCTTTAGGGCCTCAGGTGTTTTCTTTTGCTGGAAGGCACGGGCAAGTCTGGACAGAGTGTGCTGCTGTTCCTGGAAGGGAGCCTGAGCTGCGCCAGCGCCCTCGCGAACTGCAAGGGGGAGACATGAAGGGGAGCGCGGGGGGAGCAGGCACTTCGCAGCCTCAGGTCGTGCAGTCTGAGTGGGGCTACATAGGATTAAATACCCAAGACTGTTGGCACCAACATTTGTCTGGTGTCTTTTGCCTTGTTGAGGTTTTTTGAAGTCAGAGTCCTGTGGAAATGTTGAGTAATAAGTATTACTGAAGGGACCAGTGTTGTGGCGTGGCAAGTTAAGCTGCTTCCTGCAGCGCTGGCATCCCATATGGGCACCAGTTCGAGTCCCAGCTGCTCCACTTCCCATCCAGCTCCCTGCTAGTGCTTCTGGGAAAGCTTCAGAAGATGGCGTAAGTGCTTGGGCCCCTGCAACCACGTGGGAGACCCAATGAACCTCTGGGCTCCTGCCTTCGGCCTGGCCTAGCCGCGGTCCCTGTGGCCACCTGAGGAGTGAACCAGTGGATGCAGGATCTCTCTCTCTCTCTTCTCTCTCTGTAACTCTGCCTTTCAAATAAATAAATAAATAAATCTCAGAAAAAATAAACAAAAGAGCACAGATGTTGTTATCCTTCATCTTTGATGAATTCTACTACATTTGGAGGATATAATCCCTGTGGCCCTGGCAAAATATACTATTATCCTGGGAATCGCAAAAGCACTGGATACAAGACGTAGCTGCAGAAATCTTAAGTTTGATCAGGTGAATCTAGTTCCTGACCTAGAGGAAGAACAGAGTAGGTCAAAAGTTTGTAAAAAGCTGTAAACACTGTAGGTTTTGTTATTACTAATGAAACTGAAAATAACCTATGTTAATGACGTGTTTTATGCCCTTAGCACAGCTGTTTCCTCTGAGGACCAGGAGGGAGCAGCCATGATAATCTCCATATCTTCCAGCAAGGGCAGCCTAGCAACAAGAGGGGTCGGGCTCAGAAAGAGCCGCCTTCTGGCAAGACAGCGAGATCAGTATGGAGCGCGGAGTAGTTCCGGATGGTTCTGAGACAGGACATGGCCTACGCCTGACAGCTGAAAACAGGGGTCCTCGGGCTGTTGGTGAGGAGCCGTCCCTCAGAGCACCCTGTGTTCAGATAAGCCCGGACTCTGAAACCAATCTGGCCAGAGATTCCCTGGGGAATCGCTCTTTAATCTTGTCGGTATAATTTTGAAGGCACGAGGGGAAAAGTCTGTTTACGCTCCGCACTTGAGCCTGTGAAGACCTTGGAGACAGTGGACAGCCTGGGGGTCACAATGTCCGGGGCAGTAGTTGGTCCCCGGCGGGCTTCTGAGGAGGCGCTGTCCGCGGTGGGAAGACTGAGCACGGTTTGCCCTGTTCCCTGTCAAGTGGGAGTAGGAGACTCTTTGTTGGGTTTCTTCGGGGTCAAGTGGAGATTACACTTAGAACAGGAAGAAATCTTTCTGTGGGAATGAGGTGAAGGAAACGACCTTGGTGGGGAAGGGAGGTGGCGCCCATGTGACTGGTAATGCAGTAGTATCATGATCTGACTGAGTTGTCAAAGCAGTGAGAAAGGGGATTTTTCCCCCTTTCTTTCAACTTCAGGTCTGCAGTGGTCTCTTTTAGTTCTTTCCATGGACATGTACAGGTGAAAGAGTACTGCTGACTATTAGTAAAATTTAGAAGCTTAGAGGCAACTTTATACACTGCTTTCTCTGCTCTCTTCACTGACACATCTTGTGAGCTTTCACTTGTATTGAACTAAAACATGACTCAGCGGTTCCTTTGTACTCTGCCATGTGAACAGACCATACTTGATGAAGCAGTTCCCTACTGTGTGCATTTACTTTGTTTCATTTTTACTAGGATGAACAAACACTGCACTGAATATCCTTATACATCAGGTTTGTGTGGGTCTTCTTTTGCTTCCATCAGATAAATAATTTGAAGTAAAACCACATGATCAAAGGGTACACACATTTTTCACGGTTCTGATACATACAACTTTCTCCAAAAAGTTCACAGGAAATAGTATTATAAAAATATATATCATGAGGACACTATGAATAGATTGCAAATTTAATACACACCAAAATAAACTCTTTAATTCCAGTTTTCCACAGACTTTTTGAAATACGCTTGCTTTCCTGGGATGTGCTCTTAAAACTTCAAATTTACACTCCAGGAGGAGATTTTGAGAAGGTCCAAAGGGGAAGGCAGGGAGACAGGGACCCAGGATGAGCTGACCTGAATTGAGAGATTGAAAGGGATCAGGTAAGAAAGGACGGGGGAGGGAGCCTCAGAGAAGACTCGGGATGTGAGCCTGGACTGGGGATAAAGGCGTGAGACTGAGCTGAGGACAGTGCATCATCTCGAGGTGCAGCTTCGAGAAAATGATGCATGTGGGGCTGGCGCTGTGGCACAGCAATTTAACACCCTGGCCAGAAGCCCCTGCAACCCATATGGGTGCCGGTCGAGACCCAGCTGCTCCACTTCCGATCCAGCTCTCTGCTATAGCTTGAGAAAGCAGTAGATTTAGGCCCAAGTCCTTGGGCCCCAGAAACCCATGTGAGAGACCAGAAGAAGCTCCTGGCTCTTGGCTCCTGGCTAAGGATCGGCTCAGCTTCAGCCATGTGGCCAATTGGAGAGTGAATCATTGGATGGAAGACCTCTCTGCCTCTCCTCTCTCTGTGTAACTCTGGCTTTAAAATAAATGAATAAATATTTTAAAAAAAGAAAATGATGCACATGAAAAATGTTTCTCAAACCTTACAGGCTTTGCAAAAAATTTTTCTAAGGTAGCCTTTTATAGCATCTCCCATCACTGATAAAGACACTGAGACACAGAAATTAAGTGACTTTCTTACAACCACAGTAAAATAGTCGCAGAACACAGTGCAAAGTGATGTCTCTAGTTCAGATCTCTTGATTTTCCGCTCAGCTTTTTTATAGCCCTAAGGAAAGAGCTTGGCCTGGTGTAAGCTTTTCTATACTTAGAGGTGAAATAGGATACCCTTTCTCACTTTGATGTGAGAGACACTCCTGCAAGTGGGGTTGATGGGAGAATGGATGGGGCTGACCTTCGATAACCAAGACAGCGACAGTTTAGCTGACATGAAGACTCTTCTAAACCCCAAACCCACGATGATGTCGCACGTTGTTGCCAAGTGTACCAGAGATTTTTATGAGGCTCTCTTCACAAGGGCTCTCAGTTCCTAGTCCAGATCCATAAATTGCACATGAGCAGGAGGCTCGCTGATTGAGAGATGACAATTAAGTAGCAAGTAGTGGCAAGCTGAGTCCACTGGGATGAGGCTCACAAGCCCTCGGGTGCAACTCTATCACGGTGCCTCATCACAACTTGTATCGTTTCAACACTGGCCATTTCCCCAGCACTCAGCTTGTTAGAATGGCCAGCAGAAAGAAATACTTGGTTCTAGGATTTCTTGCATTTTTGTGGGCTGAATGGGGCACTGAAGGCCAAGAAGAGGAGGAACAGACCTGCAGGTTGCTGGGCAAGTTTGACTTGAATGGGTATGTAGACGCCCAAAACCACTCAGTGATCATTGGAGGCCTGTTTCCTATTCACTCCAGGACCATCCCAGCAAACGAGTCTATTTTGGAGCCAGTATCAGCAAAGTGTGAAGGGTAAGCCTCTCGCAGTCTTCCCTCTATAGCAAAAGCAGGGGCGGGGCGCAGCAGTGGGTGTGATGGGCAGCGTCTGCTCCAGGATCCCTGACTATCTGTTTGACTCAGGATAGACAGTTCTTGTTTCTGGGCCTCAGTTTCTGCAAGGTGAACATTCTAGGATTGCTTACAAATTGGAACAGGTTACTCTCCAGTGGGTGTTTGCCCACTTAGGCATCTCAGACAAAAAGGAGCACATTTTGTATAATAAGAACATTGCTCCTCTGAGAGGGGTCAACATCTCCTGAGAGCCTGCTAGAAATGTAGACTCCTGGGCTGCCTCCCGATCTGCTGAGTCAGAATCTGCATTTTGACAGCCTGCCTGGTGATTCAGGCACGCAGTGAGGGCTGAGAAGCACTGAAGCAGAATTGCTGTTGGTCAGCGCCGTGGCTCACTAGGCTAATCCTCCGCCTGCGGCACCAGCACACCGGGTTCTAGTCCCGGTTGGGGTGCCGGATTCTGTCCCGGTTGCTCCTCTTCCAGTCCAGCTGTCTGCTGTGGCCCGGGAGTGCAGTGGAGGATGGCCCAAGTGCTTGGGCCCTGCACCCGCATGGGAGACCAGGAGAAGCACCTGGCTCCTGGCTTCAGATTGGCAAAGTGTGCTGGGCTGTAGCGGCCATTTGCATTTGAATCAACAGAAAGGAAGACCTTTCTCTCTCTCTCTCTCTCTCTCACTAACTCTGGCTATCAAAAAAAAAAATGAGAAAGCACTGTTATAGTTTTAATGTTGGTTGTTATAAACTAAGCTCACCTCAAGTGAGAATACAGCATGTGGGAATGATGATTGATTTCTGAACTAAAATTAATGGCAAGGTTCCTTCAGTTGCTGAAGGCTTCCTCCCCGAATCCTCTCACCTCCAAGCTACCAGGTCAGGAAATGAGCCCAGGCTGGATCATCTGGTTTGCTAGATTTGCAGTGCAAAGACATGCAAATGTGGGATAGATTTCTGGACTTCCCCACAAACACACACACATGCACCCAAACACACACACACAAAGACACACTTGCACGCTGGCACACACATACACACACAGACCCCACACTTGAGAATGACAGACTTAAAAGAAAAAGAAACCATTATCTAGGATTCTACTTCCATGACAAAGTAGCTCTGTTTATTTTCCCATATTCTTTCTCAGCCCTTTAGTTGCACGAATCCATGTTGTTTATGTCGATTTGGCCATATCACATTCACAGCTTCATATCAGGCATTGGTGTTGTATGGTAAGGATTTCCATGATGCTGTTTGCTATTTATACCCTTAATTGTAACTGTATGCTGTAGATATTCTAGCACCTTCTTATATCATTAAATTTTACTCATCACAGCTCCAATCTTTTGAACCTATTTCATGCTTCATGTTTGAGATACCGTTAGAGAGATGGATAGACTGTAATGTTGGCAAAAAGATTTCAATCACTCCTTATTTAACTTTGGCATCTTCTTTTTTTTTGTTTTAAATATTTATTCAGTTAAAAGAGTTACACACAGAGAAGAGGAGCCAGAGAGAGAGAGAGAGAGAGAGAGAGGTCTTCCATCTGTTGTTTCACTCCCTAATTGGCTGCAATGGCTGGAATTGCGCCGATCTGAAGCTAGGACCCAGGAACTTCTTCCAGGTCTTCTTACGTGCTGCAGGGACCCAAGGTCTTGGGCTATCTGCTACTGCTTTCCCAGGCCATAGCAGAGCTGGATCAGAAGTGGAGCAGCTGGGACACGAAGCGCTTCCCATATGGAATTGCCGGTACTGCAGGCGGCAGCTTTTACTCTCTATGCCACAGCGCCGGCCCCATCTCTGGCATCTTCTAACTGGTTTTCATGATTGCAGTGTAGCAAAAGGAAGAGGGAAGAGAAGCACTTTTGCTTACAACTAAATATTTGTAAATCAGCTCATAATTTATTACAGACATTTTCAATCCTTAATAATATAAAATGGAAGTTTAGGGTTTTTCATAATATAGAACACTAATGTTTCATAAACTGAATGCTTAATTTGCTCTCCACTCTTCACTGGAATTTCTGAAGGTTATTTGCCTCTAAGAGGAAATTATATATGTATAAATTTTCATGTAAATCCATGCTTCAATAAGAATAACTAGCCATAGTCACTGAAAGCAGTGGTGAGCAGTAACCACGTCCTATCTGAAACATCCTCCACTTACCAGAGATGCAGAGAGGATTTGCGTGCACTTGCTTGGCTTTCCATTACGCATTGGCATTTATGTGCATCTAATAAAGGACTGTGTGGTTTTAAAAAAAATGGTGAAGCGGTACCGGGCAGACTTAAGCAATATTCACATGTAAGACACACAGTGGTTCCCAGGGTGGGGAGCAGCCGAGTCACCCTCTTTCTTAGCTGTGTCTGCTCAGGTTCTCTCAGAAGGGAGAGGAGGGCAAGAGAAAGGTGAGCAGGGAGTTCAGTTCCATGGCTCACTTGCAAGTGCAGGGGTGGGGTGGCTACCAGTCATTCACACCAAAGTAGGACTGATCTCTCACTCGGGCCTACTCGCTATGAGGGAACAGCAATGTTTGGAAGGTGGACAATGGAAGGAGAGGGAATTCTGGAGAGAACTGAGGGCGTGCAGCTGGGAGTGAAGCACAGGAGTGGAAGGTGAGGAGCAATGGAAGCCGGTGTGAGGCACCAGGCATGCGGCATGACAGACGGGCTGGTGCGTGCTAAGACTGGCGAAGAGAAAGATAAGCATTGGATGGGAACATTGACAAGATTTATCATCTTCTTCAGAAGGTAAGTGTGAAACAGCAGAGAGAAGGTTTCCCTTTAAAACTGTGGTGTGGCGCAGCTGGTTAAACTGAAAGACTGGCATCCCACATGAGCGCTGTTGAAGTCCTGGCTGCTCCACTTGGGTCCGGCTGCCTGCTCATGTGCCTGGAAGAAACAGAAGATGGCGGAAGTGCTGTGGTCTCTGAACTCACGGGAGAGACCCGGCTGGAGTTGCAGCCCCCTGGCTTCAGCCTGGCTCAGTCCTGTGGGTGAGACTACTTGGGGAGTGAACCAGCAGATGGAAAGTACCTCTCTCTGTCTCTCACGTGCGCTTGTGCTCACTCTCTCTCTCTCTCTCTCTCTCGCTTCTCCGGTAACTCTTCCTTTCAAATAAACATCCGCTGGCCCCTGCGATACCAGGGGCCTGAGCTCCAGGGCTTGCCTCACACAGGAGCCAATTATCTGATTTCAGCATCTTCATACATATGTGTGAAAGTAAGCAACGACATTTATTTCCTGCATTTGTTTATCTTTTATACCGGGGCTTAAGCATGCAGATCTGGTAATTAAGAAAAACAAAACTTTAAAAATTCTCAAAATTTGGATCTGGCCTTTGTTTCTCTTGGGAAGAGAATTAATCTCTCTTCAGTGCTACCTAGATCTTAGGGACTGAAAATATCTCATTTAATCCTGAGAAGAGTTGGTTGAAGATGCAAAGTCCTCCTGTCAGAGGAGGAATCCACAGCTCTGAGGGGTTGGATGTCTGGTATAAGGTCATGTGGAAAGTATCAGGCACAGGTGGGGTGTCAGTGCAGGCCCTCCTAATCAGACAGGTGCCTTTTTTCTGATTTTTTTTCCATTAAAGAAATATTGTGCAAACTGACAGTATTCCTTAAAGAAGGATTCTGGGGTGAATGACTTCAATATTAACATTCAAATCATGTCAGAAAGATGTTATTTGAGTTAGTATATATGAATTTTGTGTATTGCTACCATAGGTATCTTCGTGTGTTTTAAAGTAATAGTTAATGTACAGAAGAAAATAAGAGAAGAGAAATGAGACTCATATGGCCCCTGGGACTTACAATAGATGGGGAAAATAAGTCAGGGGTTATTGGGTGCTTGGTTTGGAAGAGAGAATTAGGAATGTAGGAATATTTTTGTGAAAGGAGATAATCAGCAGTTTGAAATGCTCACAGTAAATGAAATATACAGAGGGCAAGAAGACTTCCAAAAAGCTTCTTCCCATCCCAAATCAGTCAACAATGAAGATCATGTACGCTTTAGTCTTTAAACTTCTAAGGTTATTAGGAAAAATTAATGATCTCAGACAAGGGAGGTGCCCTCTGATGTTTGGGGAAAAGCCACTCTTACCAATCCCAACAAAGAGCTGCTTTTCCTCCCAAAGACCTGCCGCATGCTCATGCCTGACAAAAGCTATTTCTTTTCAGGTTTAACTTCCGCGGATTCCGCTGGATGAAAACCATGATACACACAATCAAAGAGATTAATAAAAGAAAGGACATTTTGCCCAATTCTACTCTGGGTTATCAGATCTTTGACACCTGTTTCAGCATCTCCAAAGCAACGGAATCGGCATTGGTACTACTCACAGGGCAGGAAGAAAACAGGCCCAATTTTCTAAACAGTACTGGGGCGTACTTGGCAGGAATTGTTGGATCAGGTGGATCGTCCTTATCAGTGGCTGTTTCAAGAATTCCGGGTGTATTACTAGGTCAAGTTAGTGGAGTATTGGTTGGGTGCTACTAGAGAAACACACACTTGGTCTGTGTTAGTGCAGCAAATAGCAGATGCCAGTGAGCTGCATTAAGTTGCAGGGAGGATGATGCTGCTGTCTTCTATTATGTAGCATCAGGCAAGTGTATATTGAAGCCTGCTGAGAGGTGACTTGAGACTCTTCCATATCCGCTGGGATCCTGGTTTAATTTTTGGCTTGAGGTTGTGACCCAGTGATTTGTATGTTTCCATCTCACTGTGCACAGTTCTCTGTAGCACAGTGGCTGATTGATGGATGGTATTGGGAAATAAATTTGTTGTCTATGTAAACACTTAGTATTCAAGACCGTTATTCTTCATGCACTGATTTGTGGAATGGGTCTCGGACTTTCACAGGATGGCTAGAATCTAGAGATGCTAACTTTTCCAGTTATTTAAACTGGGAGACAATAACACATTGAAACACAAGAAAAGATGATATTAAGAAGAACAGGTTATTAAGAAAATGTAAATAGAGCTCTGTAAGCATTCCTAAGGATGGGCCCTTGAAGGATTCATAGTGAGGACTTATTAAAGTGAAGGATGATTAAGCTTATTGAAGTTACTGAAGGCATGGGAGAATTTGAAATACTTGTAAAATATAGTGTTAAATAATATTCCTTATAATGCTCCAAATGCAAATTAGGAGAAACAGAAGTGAGAGGAGGGGTTGGGAGATATGGCTTCCAGCTTCGGTGTGGGCGTCCTGCAGCTCAGACAGCTGCTGCTGCTGTGAGCCGTGAGCTCTGTCTCCCACCAAATACTCACTGTGGTCCAGGCATAATCTAGAAACCTCTAGATCAATCTTCTTGTTCAAGTCCTTGCAATGCATCTGAGAAAAAGGTAAAAGACATGTATACGAGAGATGATTTCATGTTGATTATCTCATCGACTAAATGAGCAGCCTAAAAATGTGTGTCTATCATTACCCTGATTTCCCTCACAGAGAAAGGGAGGTTCAGGGGAGCTAAGTGGTTTGCCTGAGATCTCCCACTGATCGGTTACGTAGCTGTGAGTAGAAACCAGGATCTCTGCTTCTGAAACCAGATTCTTTCCTAAGATGTTGCTTCTTGCATGATTCCACAGGAGAATGTAGACTTGGTCAATGGAGTAAAAATAGGACAAGCGGTAAAGGAAACAGAGGATAGTAATATTCTGGCTCATTCCTGAGGGAGTTGCCAGTCACAGAGAAGTGGAATCAGAACACAGAAGGTTTTCCAGGAGATGAGAATGGGATGTGATAAGTAAGAGAGTGACGTGTGTTTTCACTGTAGCGTCAGTTAGATTGAGAGGAAGATAGATACAACGTAGGTAAGATAGCTAGAAATTCCTAGTCACCCGAGACATTCTTAAGTTCTCACAGAAGGAAAGTACATACAAGAATCATTAAGCAAAAAAGAAAAAAATTTGTGTTTATCTACAGAGTGTCAATAAAATGAAAGCTTCTGGCAATTTCGTTGGAGATCACGATTTGAACTTGAGATTGAAGTGGTGTTCTTTATCACCTTTTTCAAGCTCAGTCTTAGGGTCTGCAAAACAGAAATCCTGGCAGAGTGATATAAGGAAAGAGAAGAAGAGAGTAAGACAAAATGGTGGTGATGGAAAAAAGGGAGTGGAACAGAACAAGAAAAAGAAGAGGGAGAGGAAGAAAAGAAGGAAGACAAAGAGGAGGTGTAGGAGAAAGAACATCAAGAGGAGGGGGGCTTGAGAGAGAAAGACACAACACACACGTGTGCACAGACACCCACCCACCCACAAGCACACAATACACACATGCACAAAGAGAGAGAGGAGACACTGGGCTTGCCAAATGGCCTGTGAGTCCATTCACTTTGCCATCTCTATGATAAGATGTTGGATCTGAGGAAGACCTTAGATGTCTTGACTTACTCACTCTGACTCGGATGAGCACAGAGGAATGGGGAGGAGACTGTGCTAGGATCCCTTCTGTGGAAAGTAGTACATTGAATGTTACATCTTAATAATTGGCTTTTCTCTTGGGATAGGGTGGGAAAAGGATGGCTGGAAAGGTGCGGAGTGTTCTCTCCAACAGTCCTTACTTGGGAGAAGGAAGAGGAATCTTAGGCTTTTCATCTATGCATAGATACATGAGTTCCTTCCTTCTCCAATCAGTATATTCTGAAATTGTATAATTTAAGATTTGCTATTGCTCTCTAATAATTACATGATTATTTTCAATTGTAGGTGGGCTATGCCTCTACCTGCACAGTTCTTAGTGACAAACACCAGTTTCCATCTTACATTCGCACCATAGCCAGTGATAAGTTCCAGTCTGAGGCCATGGTAAAACTTATCCAGCACTTTGGCTGGGTCTGGATAGGCACTATAGCAGCTGATGATGATTATGGAAAATATGGAGTGAAGATTTTTAAGGAGAAATTGGAGAGTGTCAACCTCTGCATTGCATTCTCCGAGATCCTGCCCAAAGTCTATTCCAAGGAGAAAATGCACAAAGTTGTTGACGCTGTAAGGACCTCCACTGCGAAAGTCATTGTGCTTTATACATCTGACATTGACCTCAGTCCTTTTGTGCTGGAAATGGTTTACCATAACATAACTGACAGGACATGGATAGCAAGTGAAGCGTGGATTACCTCAGCCTCCATTGCAAAACCCGAATATTTCCCATATTTTGGTGGGAGTATTGGGTTTGCAGTACCAAGAAGTGATATACCAGGATTAAAGGAATTTCTTTACAACATACATCCCAGTAGGGATCCGAATGACGTCCTGACCATTGAATTCTGGCAAACAGCTGTTAACTGCACCTGGCCCAATAGCAGTGTCCCGTACAATACTGACCACAGGGTGAACATGACCGGTAAGGAAGACCAATTACATGCCATGTCTGATAGATTCTGTACCGGAGAGGAGAAGTTGGAGGATCTTAAAAATACCTATCTGGATGTGTCTCAGCTCCGAATTACAAACAGTGTCAGACAAGCTGTGTACGCGATGGCTATGCCCTGGATCATATGAATAGATGTAAAGCGGGACAGGGTCCATTCTTTCCAGGACTGGTGTGTGCAAATATAGCTAACTTTGAGCCTTGGCAGGTAAGTAGTTGGTTTTACCCCATGGTAATGATCAGAATTCTCGCTCTTAAAACTATTAATTTGCTTTTGTACTTAATAGACACAATAGGATTACCCTATTTTGCGACGCCGGCCAACATATGATATTAATTTTAACAATTTATTTAACCTAGTATATGCAAGGCAATATTTTAACATATAATCATAATGGTGATAATATAAATTGTGAGCTTATTAATAAGATAATTTGCATTTTTGAACTATGCTTTCATAATGTAGTGTATATTTATGCTTACAGTATTTTTTCATTTGGCTAATCACCTTTCTAGTTTTAGTTGCCACAAGGTAGAGGTTGTTGTACCAGATATCAAAGGTATACAGCAAGTGAAGAAAAAACATCACATCTCCTGAATTAGATAATTTTCTTTCTAAGATTCTATTTTCTATAGAATTGCATTTTTACAAATTGTTTTTTTTCTCCCACCCCCTTGCTTTCTAGCTCATGTTCTATATACAGAGAGTTAAGTTTACAACCCACGATGGACGGAAAATTCATGTTGATAGAAATGGAGACGTGACTGGATACTATGATCTTCTAAATTGGCAATTAGATGATAATGGAGATATTGCCTTCGTGAAGGTTGGAGAATACATATTCACACAGTCTAAGTTTGAATTCATGATCAGAAAGAATTCAACAATATTTTGGAATACTGAATCCTCAAAGGTTAGTCACCCTGGTATCTTATTTTGTTTATATGTAGAGAGAATTGCATTTCTATATTGTTTTAGGACTTGTGGAATCTAAACACCTAAAATGTGCCATTCCAAGCCAATTCTCCTAAGAATGCAGGTACTTCAAAAAAATTCTGGAAAGATGGAACCAAAGTAAAGTTTATTTTGATGCTAAATATTTTGAAGTCCATTCATAATTTTTCATAATGTGCATTTCCACACTTTTTTGAAGACCTCTTATATGGTACATACCTTTTCTATACATAGTTTCAGAGCTCTTATTTTTAGAGTCTTTTTTTTTGGTTATAACTTTAAACATTAATTTCTTTTTTTAACTTTTATTTAATAAATATTAATTTCCAAAGTGCAGCTTATGGATTACAATGGATTTTCCCCCCATAACTTCCCTCCCACGCTGCAACCCTCCCATCTCCTGCTCCCTCTCCCATTCCATTCCATCAAGATTATTTACATACCAGGGGATTCCAATTTAATCCCATCAAGGTGGCATGTACCAATGCCATCTCACTAGTCCAAGTGATCAATTTCAGTTCACAATTGATCATAATGAAAGGACTAAGAGTCAAAGGGAGCACATAAACAAGTCTAGTACCTGCTAATACCAACCGATAGAATAAATAAAGGGGAGAGTGATCCAACATGGGAAGCGAGATACTCAGCAGACTCATAGAATGGCGGATGTCCTAAACAGCACTCTGGCCTCAGAATCAGCCCTAAAGGCATTCCGATCTGGCTGAAAAGCCCATGAGAGTATTTCAGGCATGGAAAGCCAAGACACTCTGGCAAAAAAAAAAAAAAAAAAAAAAAAAACCAAACAAAAAAACAAAAAAACAAACAAAAAACAAACAAACAAACAAAAAAACCAACCAAAACCAAAGCCTAAATGAAAGATCTCTGTGAGTGAGATCCCAGTGGAAAGAACAGGTCTTCAAAGAAGGAGGTACCTTTCTCTGAAGGGAAGAGAGAACCTCCACTTTGACTATGACCTTGTCTAAACAAGGTAAGAGTCGGAGAACTCAAGGGGCTTCCATAGCCTTGGAAACTCATGACTGGAGCATAGGGAGATTACTGATGCCATAGACAGGAGTGTCAATTGGTAAAGTCAACAACAGGAGTCACTGTGCACTTACTCCTCATGTAGGATCTCTGTCCTTAATGTGCTGTACATTGAGGCTTAATGCTATAACGAGTACTCAAACAGTATATTTCACTTTGTGTTTCTATGGGGGTGCAAACGGTTGAAATCTTTACTTAATGTATACTAAACTGATCTTCTGTTAAAAAAAAAAAAGAAGAAATTAGCAATTCCCAACTTGACTCTCGCTGGGATTAAACATGACAATAGGTCTGATCTGATTTCATCATCATTTAAAAAAATCATCTATTATTTTACACTTTATGTTTCTGTGTGGTAGCAAACTGTTGAAATCTTTACTTAATGTATGCTAAACTGATCTTCTGTATATAAAGAGAATTGAAAATGAATCCTCATGTGAATGGAAGGGGAGAGGGAATGGGAAAGGGGAGGGTTGCAGGTGGGAGGGACGTTATGGGGGGGAAGCCATTGTAATCCATAAGCTGTACTTTGGAAATTTATATTCATTAAATAAAAGTTAAAAAAAATAAACAAAAAAAGATTATTTTCAATTATCTTTATATACAAAAGATCTATTTAGTATATATTAAGTAAAGATTTCACCAGTTTGCACCCACACAGAAACATAAAGTTTGAGTCCTAGTTATAGCATTGATTCACATTGGAGTAAGTGCATAGTGACTCCTGTTGTTGACTTAACAAATTGACACTCTTGTTTATGGTGTCAGTAATCTCCCTAGGCTCTTGTCATGAGTTGCCAAGGCAATGGAAGCCTTCTGAGTTTGCCAACTTCCATCTTATTTAGACAAGGTCATAGTCAAAGTGGAAGTTCTCTCCCTTCAGAGAAAGGTACCTCCTTCCCTCCTTCTTTGATGGCCCTTTCTTTCCACTGGGATCTCACTTGTAGAGATCTTTCATTTAGTTTTTTTTTTTTTCCAGAGTGTCTTGGCTTTCCATGCCTAAAATACTCTCATGGGTTCTTCAGCCATATCTGAATGCCTTAAGGGCTGATTCTGAGGCCAGAGTGCTATTTAGGACATCTGCCATTCTATGAATCTGCTGTGTATCCTGCTTCACATGTTGGATCGTTCTCTCCCTTTCTAATTCTGTCAGTTACTATTAGCAGACACTAGTCTTTTTTTTTTTTTTGGACAGGCAGAGTGGACAGTGAGAGAGAGAGACAGAGAGAAAGGTCTTCCTTTGCCATTGGTTCACCCTCCAATGGCTGCCACGGCCAGCGCACCGCGCTGGTCTGATGGCAGGAGCCAGGTACTTATCCTGGTCTCTCATGCAGGTGCAGGGCCCAAGTACTAGGTCCATCCTCCACTGCACTCCCAGGCCATAGCAGAGAGGTGGCCTGGAAGAGGGGCAACCAGGACAGAATCCGGTGCCTCGACCTGGTGTGCCAGCGCCGCAAGGTGGAGGATTAGCCTATTGAGCCGCGGCGCCGGCCCCAGACACTAGTCTTTAAACATTAATTTCATTATTTTGTTTTTCTTTTTCAAGTACTCCAGTCGCATTGATTTGATCTCCTTTGTATGTCTTCCATGTCATATAAATTCCATTTCTACCTTTTTCTTGATCTCATTCTTATTTTCTTGGTTGTTTTCCTGCTTTCTTTAAGTGACCATTACTAAATTCTCAAATATATTGTTTTTTCCAAAATAGTTATGTTTATTTATTTTTTTACCCAGAAACCTTTTGTTTAGTTTTTTTTTTTTTTTTTGACAGGCAGAGTGGACAGTGAGAGAGAGACAGAGAGAAAGGTCTTCCTTTGCTGTTGGTTCACCCTCCAATGGCCGCTGCAGCCCGCACGCTGTGGCCAGCACACCGTGCTGATCTGATGGCAGGAGCAGGTGCTTCTCCTGGTCTCCCATGGAGTGCAAGGCCCAAGCACTTGGGCCATCCTCCACTGCACTCCCTGGCCACAGAAGAGAGCTGGCCTGGAAGAGGGGCAACCGGGACAGAATCTGGCGCCCCGACCTGGACTAGAACCCGTTGTGCCTGCGCCGCAAGGCGGAGGATTAGCCTAGTGAGCCGCGGCACCCGCTTGTTTAGGTTTCATTCAAACTTCATGCATTTCATAAATACAACATTGGGAACACAGTGATTCTTTGTACACCCTTTATCTTCCTCCCTCTGCTATTTCCATTCTTATTGTTTACTAAGATCTATTTTCAATTAACTTTATACACATAAGACTAACTCTATACTAAACAAAGAGTTCAACAAATAATATGAAAAAAAGGACTGTTTTTCAACAGTTGAGACAAGGGCTGTTCAATGTCATTACATCTTAAAGTGTCAATTTCAGTTCTATAGATTACGTTTTTTTATTTTATTTTTTTTCTTTTCAACTTTTATTTAATAAATATAAATTTCCAAAGTACAACTTTTGAATTATAGGGGTTTCTCCCCCCAATGCCTCCCTCCCACCCACAACCATCCCATTTCCCACTCCCTCTCCCATCCCATTCTTCATCATGATTCATTTTCAATTATCTTCATATACAGAAGATCAAGTTGGTATATACTAAGTAAAGATTTCAATAGTTTGCACCCACAAAGATACACAAATTATAGAGTACTATTTGAGTAGTAGGTTTACCATTAATTCTCATAGTACAATACATTAAGGGCAGAGGTCCTACATGGGGAGCAAGTGCACAGTTACTCCCATTGTTGATTTAACAATTGACACTCTTTTTTATGATGTCAGTAATCACCCAAAGCCTTTGTCATGAGCTGCTAAGGCTATGGAAGCTTCTTGAGTTCGCCAACTCTGATTTTATTTAGAGAAGACCATATTCAAAGTGGAAGTTCTCTCCTCCCTTCAGAGAAAGGTACTGCCTTCTTTGATGGCCTGTTCTTTCCGCTGGGAACTCACTCACAGAGATCTTTCATTTAGGTAATTTTTTTTTTGCCAGAGTGTCTTGGCTTTCCGTGCCTGCAAAACTCTAGTTAATGGGCATTTTACCCAGATTCAAATACGTTATGGGCTTATTATGAGGCCAGAGTGCTGTTTAGGGCTTTTGACATTCTATGAGTCTGCTGTGTAGCATGCTTCCCATGTAGGATCATTCTCTTCTTTTTAATTCTATAAATTATTTGCAGTCGCTGGTCTTATTTATGTAATCCCTTTGACACTTAATCCTATCTTTTTGATCAATTATGAACTTAAACTGATCACTTTAACAAGTAAGATGGCATTGGTACATGCCCCTCGATGGGACTGAATTGGAATCCCCTGGCACGTTTCTAGCTTTATCGTTAGGGGTAAGTTTGACTGAGCATGTCCCAAATTGTACATCTCCTCCCTCTCTTATTCCCACTCCTATGTTTAACAAAGATCACTTTTCTGTTAATTTTAAATGCCTAAGAATAATTGTGTGTTATATAAAGAGTTTAACTAAGATATTAAGTAGAACAAAAAAAGAAAAAAATACTAATAGGAATAAAATAATAAGTTGTTCCTTGACAGTCAGGACAAGGGCTGATCAAGTAATTGTTTCTCATAGTGTCCATTTCAGTTCAACAGGTTTCCTTTTAGGTGCTCAGTTAGTTGTCACCAATCAGAGAGCATATGATATTTGTCCCTTTGGGTCTGGCTTATTTCACTCAGCATGATGTTTTCAAGATTCCTCCATTTTGTTGCAAATGACCGGATTTCATTGTTTTTTACTGCTGTATTCTATAGAGTACATATCCCATAATTTCTTTATCCAGTCTTCTGTTGATGGGCATTTTGGATGATTCCATGTGTTAGCTATTGTGAATTGAGCTGCAATAAACATTGAGGTGCAGACATCTCTTTTATTTGCCAATTTAATTTCCTTTGGGTAAATTCCAAGGAGTGGGAAGGCTGGGTTGTATGG